CACATGATGCTGACACTATACAATCTGATGATAATGAGTTAGATGATGATCATGATATAGATGTTTAGGGATGCATTATCTTTTACTATTTGTTATTAATATTTACTATGCTTTAAACTTATACTTTGTTATGTTTAAGTTTTACTATAGTACTTATCATACATTAGGGATCAACTAAAGTCCTAAACTTTGTTATATTTTGTGTTATTTATATCTATCGTATGCTTGACTTTTTTATATTCATGTTTAGTTACATGCTTTTATAAAATTGAGAAATTTTTCTTAATTATTTATTTTGTTAATTTTTTAAACAAATAGACAATAAATTCAACTTTTTGGATCAATTAATAAATTATTTTTTATATTCATAATTAAAAAATTATATCACAACTAGAGGAGAAAAACATATTTTTCACAAATATTTATGAAAAAAGTCTTTTATAAGATCAATAATTCATAATTTGTGACAGAATTTATTTATCGCAATTTTATGATGGATTTTATTTATCACAATTTGTGACGGACACACAAATTTGTGACGGAATTAGTCCCTCACAAATTGTGACAGAATTAGTCCCTCACAAATTTGTGACGGAATTAGCAGCCCTCACAAATTATGACGGAATTAGGCCCTTACAAACTTGCAACAGGATTAGTCTCTAACAAATTTGTGACGGAATTAGTCTCTCACAAATTTGTGACGGAATTAATTCCTCACAAATTGTGACAGAATTAGTCCCTCACAAACTTGCAACGGGATTAGTCTCTAACAAATTTGTGACAGAATTAGTCCCTCACAAATTTGTGACGGAATTAATCCCTCACAAACTTGCAACGGGATTAGTCTCTAACAAATTTGTGACGGAATTAGTCCCTCACAAATTTGTGAAGGAATTAATCCCTCACAAATTGTGAAGGAATTAGTCCCTGACAAATTGTGACGGAGTTAGAGGTTGTCACAAATTGCGATGGATTTTTATTTATTTATGAACATTTATTTTAAGAAATTAGTGACGGAAAATATATTATTTTTGATGCCTTAATTCCGTCATTAATTGTGACGGACTAAATTATCCCTCACTAAATATTTTGTGACGCCAGTTTTTGTGACGGAAACAGTTCTGTTACAAATTCCGTCACAAATTTGTTTTGTGACAAAATTTTTATAATTTAGTGACGGATTTGTTCCCTCTCTAATTTTAATTTTTCTAGTAGGTCCCAAATACCCTTGACCTGCAATTTGAGATGTTACCTCAAGTTTTCGGCTATCCCAAATGCATAATAATCCTCCTGCAGCATTATTTTCAGGGGCCCAACAACACTCGCACTTTCCACAACCCCATAGTTTCTTATTCAACGCTTCCGTGACAACCTCCTTCTTTGTTTCTTGTACACATAGCACATCCACCCTATGTTTCAAGACCAGCTTCCTGATGATACCATGCTTTGTCTCACTTCTGAGACCTCTAACATTAAATGAAATAATCTTCATTGATCACTAATGTTAACCCCTTCATGTGTCTAATGTTGTAACATCTTAGCTTGTTGAATGTCTCTATTTTCCAGATTACCAAACTGCTCCACAATCACCCCCTCATCACCTTCATAGGTCACCCCTAACACCTTGGCCCTTTCCCATTGTTTCTTGGCTCAATGATCTCATAATTAGCCCAGAACAATCGGTTGCAGTTCAATACATTTGTATCTGAAATGGAATTATTAGATGAATTTAAATTTTGGCTCATTTGGCTTCTAGCAGCTTGTGTCACCTTCCTTGACTTTGATTGATGCACCACATGTGCCGAGCATTGTATCTTTTTTGCCTGTCGCTCATCACCCAGAGGATCCAAATTTATGTTGTCATCTAACACTGTCGGTGTAACATTGACGACGGCCTCAACGGATCTATAGTTCATCTCTAGCACAACCTTCTTTGACAGCTTGTTCGATTGCATCAACATATATCCCGGTTCCCCGCACTGGTCTAAGATAGTCCCCTTCTCGTTCATACCCTCTAATTCCAACGTATTATTTTTGACCCTTTCGGAGTTGACATTGTCATTCTCTGTACTTGGTATTTGTGGCGATGCACGTGTTAAGCCCGGCGTTTGGACCGTTGCACTTATTGAGCCCAAAATAAATCTATTGCATGTGGTTAAGCTTGAAGCCCGAAGTATATTTGGACCTCGTAATGGGCAACCCCTCCCCTAAGTACATGGAAGTGACGTTCTTCGGCTTGATGTAAGGTTTAGCTGACCTACTTCCCCATTTCCTGAACCTCGTTTTTGGTGCCCTTTTCCTGATTGTTCTTCCATATCCACCTTTTTTTCCTAACACAGTACCGTCCTCCCTCACCAACTCCCTGAAGCTACCTCGTTGTAGTATACTTTTCTCGGTGTTGTCTGACTTATCTTTTGCATTGACGGCTACACTTTTCATTGCTTCACTACATGCCACCATTGAAACTACCGCCATCCATTGAATTGTATGATTCCATGCTTTTGTGTGAAATTGCATGATTATGAATTCTGGAAATGTAGGTTAATGCCAAGGGTCCCAGGCGTGGTTCTTCACACCGAGTACAAATTCATGGTTTGGGAACTAGGTTCCCAAGGACTCCTGCACCAGGAGCGAGTTCCCTGGAGGGCATGCATTAGGTGCATGTAGAGCTACATCGGGTGGGTTTCTCTGCTTTAGATGTAACGTTAAAGTCGTCAAGTGTGCTTAGGGGCATGCCAGGCATGAGACTCTGATTTTGGTGTGGCAATTAAGTTGTCGGACGTGGCTAGGAGCATGTCGAGCACATTAACGCCCTGGGTGCGAACTTGGGTGCATCGGGTGCGACCCCGATCTATGACTTTCATGTCTTGCATGATATGAGTTATGTATTGAATATGAATGTTGTTGATTGTTTTCCTAGTATGATCTACGTGTTATTATTAGATATGTGACAATGAGAACTTCTATGTATATATGACCATGTGAATATGATATATGAGAATGCGAAATGTGACATTGTGATATGAGACATGAGATTTTGTGAAAAGCAAAGTGATGAGTCTATGACATTGTGAATGTGTGACATGCATCATGTGCATTTATGTGACGGGGTACGATGTGGATTACACCGTTAAGGAAGACCCTCCTTGCATAACAACTTGGGGGAGTCTTAGGGGATAGTAAGGTTTGGATGTCTCGATTTCACCCTTTGGTGTGCACGCACTACAAGAAAACTTGATTTTTTTGTAGTGACGAGATGTAACTTGTGTAGCTTCGCTATCCCGACGAGAACCTAGCAGAACATCCTTCTAGTTGAGAGTGTATGGGTAGCTTCCTACATGTACTCCTAGACTACTTTAGATGTGTTGTTTTGGCAACACGTAGTGATATATGATTAGACATGTGACTAACGCCACATGCATGCATTTATGAGTCGAGTTCATAACATCATTGCATGATGAGTGATTATGTATGTTTTACTAGTGAATGTATGACTTGAGTTGTGTTTGAGTATTGTGTTGCGGGTGACCATTAACATGAGGATGTTGGTGACGAAGCTTAAGCTTCAGTTGGGCATGCGTTGATAGGACATGTGACATCAGGACGTAATTAGGACTAGTTTAAGATGTTGTTTCTATTAAACTGTTTTGAAAACCTTGTTTTTTTTTTCTTTTGTAATTTCTACATTGGAATTATGATTTATGAGTTATAAATGTGAATCCTCTACCTTATGATATTTGAGACGCTTATGTTATTTATGAAAGATTTTATCATCTATGAAAGATTTCATTTACTTGAAAAATTATGATTTACATTTAATTATTGTGTATTAATATTGGGGTAGAGAGTGTCACATTAATTAATCTACGATAATGTAGATTTGTCCACATAGAGTTAGGTGACAATTAACCTTGATTTAGGAAAAGAAATGACAAACTTGTTTGAAATATTGTCTAGAATACTCTTTGAGGATATTTGTCTTCCTCCAAATTTTGTCCTATGAGGAAGACCAATATCCTTAAGAATATCTTAAACAATATCCCAAGCAAGTTTATCACATATTTTCTCTAAATCAAACTTATTTGCCATCTAACTTTGTTTCCCTTGCATTTCGTTGAGTGAAAAATTTCTTGAGCTACGATTACATTATCATTACTTTGTTTATTTGAGACAACAAAACGGCACTGCACTGAATTAATTAATATCTCCATGATACCCTTTAGCCTTTAAGCCAAGATTTTGGTTAGGATTTTATAGGCCTATGGGCTTAAATTGACTAAGCTTGGTTATATTGTCAAAAATATTACTTATATTAATGATTTATCAAACCTACAATAGAAAAAAAAATATTTATAGAAAAGAAAACTAAATAATGTTTGTTTAAAATATTCAATATTAGTACAAAGGTAAATTATGAAATTCATATATCACAGTTTCTTTTTATGTATTAATAAAAAAAAATGATATCTAGATACGTTGATTAAAACTTTTTGAAACAAAAATCCTAATTAGTTCTAAAAAAATGATTAAGTTTAAATAATTATGTTACTCTATAATTTATTTAACCAAAGAAGAATTATTTTACCAGATAATGGTTGAAACCTGGTTTTATTTTATTCAAAATTCAAGTCATACGTTATGATATATACTTTCCTTGCCGTGAATTACATATTCACCGAAAACTAATTGAATTTATTGTCCCATGCACTTTAAAGCTTGAATTTGCAGATATGCATTAACAGTGTTATAGTATTTATATGTTAGAAGTAGACATTATCGTTTTAAACTTCGACACTAGCAATCAAAAAGTAAATATCATGCAATTACATGTTACATGGGGAAAGAGACAAAACTATGGTGATGATAAATTTTGGAATACTTAGTTATATGATAAGACTGAATTAAATCAATACCAACTAAAGAATTGAATGATCTAGTTCTATCTGTTCTCACCTAGCCTATAAATAGAGAGTATTCAGCCACTTCCTTTTCATCGACAAACATAGAAACAATAGTTTGCAATTGTTTCACAGTGATAGTGATTAGAGAAAATGGGTTCCAAGGCTTTGCTCGTTCTTCTTGTGCTCTTTGCTTCTGTCCTCCTTCTTTCAGCTGATGTTGCATCCAAAGATGCACCCAAAGATGTAGATGAGGAAGTTGATACAAGTGATGGTAATTCTTTTCATGAGTTTTTCACCATATATTAATTAATAGATTTATTATTACAAGTTTAATAATAGTAGAACTCTTTGGTGTATGATAAAAAAAAAAATGTCCACGATATTTATAAGAATCTCACCAAGCTTAATCAAACTTCAAGTTTCTCGAATTACTATGAAGCCGGTTAGATATAGTCTACAAGAATTTTTAAGAACTTTTTTACTAAAAAAAAAAAAGAGTGTATTTTTAAGTAAAGAAACTCTTAAAACCCTTTAAAACTTATATCTAAACATGTTCTATGCCAAGAATATTATTCCTTTTTATCTAAATATAAAAAATTGATAAGATGAATCAAAACCAGCATTTAGACAAAAGTTTTATTATTTTCTTAGTACGTGATATATGTTCGTAAAATATATGGGAATAAACATTAATTTAACTACCTCATTGTTCTTTTATTTTGATTGAAGGAAACTTTGATACAAATGGGGTCGAAGAAATGAAACATCATAGAGGTTCGCGGCGAGGTCACGGCAGTTGGCATCATGGTCATGGTGGTTGGCGGCGTGGTCACGGTGGTTGGCGGCGTGGTCACGGTGGAGGGTATTATTGTCCTTATGGTTGCTGTGGTTGGAACTACTATGGACGCTGTTGGAGGTGCTGCCATTATCCTGGTGAACTTGTTGATGCTCATAATGATGTTGAACCTCTCAACTAAACTAGAGCTAAATTAGGTTCTTGTTATCTATACAAATAAAACTACATGGGACGTGTTGGTTATCTAGTTATGAATAAAATAAAAGTGAAAATCTTTCGCTGTACTTACTAAAGGAATGAATAATGGATTTGATACATGATTCTCCTTTCGATTTCCTTTTTGTTCTATGTCTAAATATTTTGTCTCCATTCGTTTGCTAAAATTATGTGCGCAAAATAAAAAATAATTAAAAAAAATGAGTTTTCTTCCATGTAAGAAGACATTTGCTAAAGGTGATTGATCACAGAATTTGAAGATCTTGACTCCAAAATTATACTAATAAAGTTGATATAAGTAAACAATTTTGCTGCAAAGAAATGCTTGCAGCGGTAATTTTTGCATCATGAACTTAATAAGAATATATGGTTTAAGAGGGACAAATGAAAGATAAAACTAATTAGAGAGATTTCAAGGGAGAAAAACATTTACCCTAGAATTTTTGACCATAGAAAGTTCTAAATTAGGGATGATAATGTGGGTTAAATTTAATGAGTTAATTTACCAACTCGTCTATTATGGTAGGTTCAGTTGGATAAATAAATCTATCAACCTATCTTGCCCAACTCAGGGGATTCAAGCCACCAATTTGGTTGTCAACTTGTCAACCAATTTTTTTTTTTTTTTTTTTTATTTATACACTTAAAAGATAAATTTGTAGTGAATTTATATTAGATCAATATTTTTTTATAGCTTAATTTCTCTATTTTTATTTCATTTGAAATAGAAGTATATTATTTTAGTCACATATTTTTTTACTAATACATTTTCATATATAATGTCTTTTTTAATAAAAATATATATTATTTTAATCCTTTGCATGAAAAATATAACCTCAATTTTACAAATAATAATAAAATTATAAGTTTAAATAATATTTTTTTTATTTAAATACTTTAATTAAAAAAAATTAAAAAAACTTGGGTAAGTTAAAGGTGAATAAAATTGTCAATTCACTATTTTTAATTCATCAATCACTAAAATATGTTAACCTACCAATCTATTATTAAGTGAGATAGGTTATATTTTTTTAACTTGTTTTCTTTGGTGGACAACTCCCTCCACCCTATTTTTTTTTTTGGTAAATGGACTCACTCTACCACAATTATGTATGTTGAACTATTTTGTCACTCCAATTAAAAATAAGATAAAAAGAATTCCGACTAAGTGCACTGAAGTAGTGGATTCTTAAATTGTGTATCTTTGAGGCTGGGTCGGGGTATCACTTTTTGGATAGTGAATGATTTCATAATTTATGCTTTCCAACTTTAATTAAGCACATCCACTGCATATCGAGAGCACCAACTTAGCCTCAGTTAAGATTGATTTTTTCACTAACACTTGAAAATAAATAAGGAGGAACATAATTTTCAACTTTAATCGGGAGAATTTAAATGTGAGAGATATATTATGAAAATATTGAAGTGTATTAACTAGGAACATTGTTTAATATATTGATAAAACAATCATATAAAAAAAAAATTGTCTAGTGGGTAGTTATTTTTTTTTTTTTTATTTAACTTTTCCTCCTTAATACAGACCACCTCCATAATAAGTTATACTTTTTAAAACTCTTATTTTATAATTAAAATAACAATTAACTATGCCACAAAATAAATTCGACCAACCCCTCTGCATAATAAGGAAATACGCCCAACAATTGTGGAAAAAAGGACACATCAAGTGGAGTGTCCTACTCCAAAAGAAATTTGAGAAATACGACATTGACATTAACGTTATGTTTGGAGAATTAAAAGAAGTGAAAGAAATGAAAAGGAAGAAAGTGACATGATTTTTTCTAGGTTGTTTGATAGAAAATAAAATAAAATAAATTTTTTTTTGGCTGTCTAGAAAGTAAAAGAAAAGAAAAGAATATATAGTGGCATAAATACTCTCTTAACTAAATAACGAAATATGATCATTAATATTTAAATAAACAATATATTTTTTATATAGTAATAAAATTAAATAATAATAATAAATAAATAAATTTTAATAATATTACAGTTGTCTCCAACAAGAAGCAAAAAGTTGATTATATGCAAAAATTGAAACAAGAATGTTACCGGAAGTAATTGCAGGATGATATATGTAGCAAACTAACAATGAAACTACACTAAAACTTAGTTTTAAGGACAATTATTTAACGGTAGTAAAGTGATTGTCTGCATTTTATTATTTAAATTAGATAATTTATGGCTAATACATATAATTTCCGGGTAAAAAAATACTTTTTATAAAGGCAATTACATAGATTTGTTCGGGTTACAAGACAATTATAAGAATGGTAAGTAAATATTACTAAATTATAATTTTTTATCATTTTTCTAAAACTTTTGATTTGTTTTATCATGTAATCATAGGGTTTGTTATTGTAATCACATTTTACTCTATTAATTATTTTTTCAAGTAATTTTGATTTAATTTTAATTGTGTTTTACTCCATTAGAATTCTTTGTTAGGTTTCATACATGTGGATTGATACCATTAAATTGTATCATTGGATGATAAAATGAGGTAGGGTATTCTTTAAAAAATTGGTTGAAAAACTGTAAGCATTGCTTTGTTGTTTAGCGCCAAATAGGATTTCCTAGTTGATTCATTCCATTCAAATTTTTTTGATTACGGACCAATTTGCCCTCATTGATTAAATTGAGAATGAAGTGTTCCTAAACATATGGGTTTCCCTAGTTGTAATTTCTATGTTTACTTCACTTTCTTGTTTTCATTTTTCTTTCTTTGCCTGAGAAATTGTGAGATGTGTAGTTACATCAAAAAGGAAATTGTGAAAGTTCTCACTACTAGAATTTTTTCTATTACCTAAAGATTTTCCTAGGAATTTTTCATTAAAATTTGTAGGAAATAAGTTTTTTGCGAATTTTTCTACAAATTTATTTTCGCAGCTAATACCTTCGTGGATAATTGTTTCTTGCCAATTTCAAAATTCGTAAAAAAAATTCTTATGATTTTTGCTATAAAAAAAATCTATAGAAAACTTTCTTGCAAAAAAAAATGGCAGCAAACTTTATTGTGGAAAAAGAATTCTTAAAAAATTTGCAAAAAATATTCTACAAATTTTAAAATTCACAAAATTTTTGCAAGAAATTTTCCAAAAAATTTAAAATTTTCAAGTAAATTTCTTGCAAAATTAAAATTTCCCAAGTAAATTTTCTGCAAAATTAAAATTTTGTAGGTAAATTTTCTGCAAAATTTCAAATTCGCAAGTAAATTTCCTAGGAAAAATCGCAGGTAGTTTTTTATATTTTTTTTTAATATTATGATACCCTGCAAGTTCACAATTCTTATAACTTTCACATTTTAATTTTATGATGCCCTGCAAATAAATTCACGTTTTGGCCACCAAAGAAAAAAAATAGTCACTCGTGGCAGCAAGTGCCGATATGGGTAATTTGTACACTTCAATTAACCTTTTCACTTCTAATTTTTTTTATATGATTTGAATTTTTTAGTGAATTATGTTAACATAGATTCATTTCACCTTATTGGTTGTGCTCAATTTTAGTTTCATGCAATGTGAAGTGCCACCATCTTTGCATCTTAGTTTACTAATTGCTAAATTTAATGAGATTCATGTGTATGTGGTGTTGCATCTAGGTTTACAAGTTACTAATTTCATTGGAATTCATACTTATCTAGTGATGTTGCTCATAAGTTACATCTTAGACTTTTTACTAATGCTTATATACTTTTGTTTCTTATTTTCTTTTTATAGAATGAGTATGAAAGATGGTTATCTGAAAGATAGTCTCAACAATTATCAGGAGAGGCTGCCCATAGTGTGCAATCTGAAAATAGTATTTTCTATGATGTTGGTGGTGTGAACAATAAAGGAAGAATATTTGGTTTAGGTTCAGAGGCTGGGAAGTATAAACCTTCTTCTTCTAGATTCTCAGATGCTAGCTCAAATCATGAGTATGAACAAATGAAAAATCTTGTTTCAAATTTGTCCGCCCAACCCCCGTACAAGGCGGCTTACCAAGGCTTACCGAATTTATTAAACGGCCTATGTGCTACGATTAGGACTTGCGGACCGACACTGCCGCTTCTCCTTTCTCCCCAGCCCCGAAATGAGGCTATTTTCCTTCTCTACGACCACAGACTGAAGTTAGAAGATCCACCGGAGATAGTCCTTTCTTTGACCTACCTTTACTTTAGTGGGTCTACGAATCCGCGGAGGGTTTCAATATTATTAGGCGTGTAACCGGTCCGGTACCTTCGTGGTACTAACATGGTCTACAAAACCTAAGTGAGTTTGCATCCAGTCATGGATGGATGACAGTCATGCAGCTCACACCTTAGGTCATACCAAGGTGCCCTATCTATATAGGGTTCCCACGCAATGATGGGTTGGTGTCGAAGACCAATCTTGTGAAGGACGCAGAGGGCGAATTCCTTCTCGTCGCTCAATCTGGAGTAAGAAGCCGGCTACCAGCACGAGTGTACATTGGGATGGTACATCTTGTGACCACCAGCATTGCAGGGCACTGAATGAGAGTTTTCATTCTCCATCCTGAAGCCTTGGCTTCGCACCTTATCTAACCCTAACGGGCTTATGGGTACTGGTGGGAAGAGGGCGTAAGCAAAGTGATTATGAATCGTTTTGCCTCCTTCCCTGATTCGTCTTTCGCCATTACGGCAGTTCTTCGAAGACTTCTCTCGACTCCTAATCTAAAGCTAGTGGAAGTAGTCCTTTTTAAGGCCAAAATCCCGAGAGTCCTCTGGACTTAGCTCCACTTCCAGCTACTCACAACTTTAGTGGAGATGCGGGTGAAGAAAATTAAGAAGTTGCATGAGCGAGAAAATTTCTAAGCAAAATGAGAAGTATCAAGCTCAAGCTAACAAGCATCGCAAGTTTTCTGAGTTCAAAGAAGGTGATCTGGTGTAGGTTCATCTTCGAAAGGAGCGTTTCCCGCGAGGACAATTTGCTAAGCTCAAGCCTAGAGCTGATGGACCATTCAAAGTTCTCAAACGCATGGGTGAAAATGCCTACAAGATTGAACTACCAGCTGAGTATGAGGTTTCAGAAACATTGAAAGTTTCTGATCTTTTTCCTTATTATGGTGAAGAAAGCACTAAC